GCCCCCTCGCGCCAACCCCAATCAATTTTTTTATTTTTAAAAAATTTTGAAAAATATTTCAAATATTTTTAAAAAATCATTTTTTATGCCACACCCTCCCCTCAATTTTTTTTTTAAAAATAAAAATTCGTGGGTCGAAAGTCTGGGTCAGATCTCAGGGTCAGATTTTAGAACGGTCATCAGGGTCTTGTCCTAGTTTGGGTGTCGGGGTCAGATCCTAGATCAATTATAATGGTTGATTTTCGGATCAGAAATTATTTTTCTAATGAGTATTATTTAGTCTCAAGCCAAAAATAAAAGATAGTTTCTGAAAAATATTTTTCATTCACCAACCAAACATTAAAAAATATTTTCAACTCACCAACCAAACATGAGAAAATAAGTTAGAAATCTACTTGTTTTCCAAGAAAACATATTTCATGGAAAACATTTTCCTTCATACCAAACACACCCTCAGTCTTACAAATACCATTGGGTTTTTGAAAGGTGTGAATAAAAAATGAAGAGTTGTGATTTTAATGAAAAGTTGTGACTTTTATGAAAATTTGTGACTTTTAGAAAAGGTTGTGACCTTTCCGAAGGGTTATAACTTTTCAAAGGGGTGTGACCTTTCCGATAAAACACAATAAGCATCTGTTCACTCTACCATTTGTTGTCTATAAATAGAGGGATTTCCTCTCATTTTAATACAACCAATTTTCTGGACTTCTTCTACTACTACTAAATCTAGTATTCTAAGTGTACTTTACTGCCGTTGAGTGGTTCATTGACATCGTGGTTTTAGGTATCGATACATCGGTGAATAAGATCGTTCTATCCAGGGAGGATATATTCCATTAACCTCGGATACTTGAGGGGGATAGTTTCTTTAAGGGGAGACTGTGCATTCAGTGATTTCAATTTTCTTCCTTAAGAAAAAATATTTTGTATATTATTTCTAATCTGTTTCTGATTCTATTTTGGTTTTAATTTTCTAGTTCTGGAAATGCTCTTTAAACTCTGTTGTTTCTTATCAAGTTCTTTAAAGTTTTTATTCTAAGTATCTTAGGAATACAAGATGAACAACAATCTTAAGGAAATTATTATACTATTGGTAAGCAAAGAAATAAAACTAAACGACAATATAGGAAGTGTTTTGTTATTAAACTAAAAGAAGAAAAGAAATACTACGTTCATACTTACGAAACAAGAATGTAACAAAGACAATATTGGAGGTGTTTTGTTTACTGATGCAAAAATCAAATTTCTCTTTGGATAGAACAAGTAGACATAGAAAAAATGATTGTTATAAGAAACTTACCTTTTAGAGATTGTAATATGAGGATTAATAATTACTGGATTAGTTGTGCATTTACTTCTATTAGTAGATGTTTATATAATTTTGTATTAAAGATAGAATATAGCGGCTGTTTTTTAACAAGATAGTAAAATGAAGGGATAAGGGTTTGAAAAATATCCCAACTTTGGTCGGATTTGCTGTTGCGATACTAAACTTTCATGATGACCTATTACCTCCCTAGACTATTTAATACCGTATTTTTTACCCCCAAAACTATTTAATAGTGTATTTTAAAGGTATATATGTGCCCACGTGGACACATTACTATTTATAATTTTGCATTATTTTTTATGTCCACGTGGGCAAATATATATGTTTAAAATACGGTATTAAATAGTCTAGGGAGGTAATAGGTCATCATGAAGGCAAATATATATGTTTAAAATACGGTATTAAATAGTCTAGGGAGGTAATAGGTCCTCATGAAAGTTTAGTATCGCAATAGCAAATTCGACCAAAGTTAGGGTATTTTTCAGACCCTTATCCCTAAAATGAAGTAAATATTTTTTTTAATAATTGGAATGAAAAAATAAAATAAAATCCGCCGCAAGGCGCTGACATTCCTGCGCCTTGCAAGGCACATGGCGGTTGAGCCTTACAAGGCGCATGGAATTCCGTGCCTTGCGCGGCTACCCTAATTTAAACGGTATCAAATTCACAGTTAGAAAGTTGCCCTTTTGGTTCAATAATCAATTTTGTTGCTTTTTTGAATTTTTTGGCAAATTTTCTTACCCTTTCGGCTCTGAACTCCCTTTAAGAGCCCAAAAATTCAATAAGTGTAGGCAGGAAGAAAATGTGGAAGTAAAACAAAGTCAAAATTCCGCCACCATCATGTCAGAGCTTTAGACATTTCTAGCATGCAACTTCATGGTACCATTCCTCCATACCTTGGAAACCTCTCATTTCTGGTTTCCATTATAATCGACAACAACACTTTCCATGGAGAGTTGCCAAAAGAGTTGGCTTATTTACAGAGGTTGAAACTGATCTCGGTAAGAAGTAATAACTTTACTGGTGCCATTCCAACATTTCTAAGTCTGTTACCAAACCTTCGCATTGTGCATCTTTCGAGCAACCAATTTTTCGGGGAAATCCCATCTTCCCTTTCCAATATAACACAGCTGCAAGTGTTGGATATGTCCAAAAATTTTCTCGATGGGGAGATCCCTCAAGAACTCGGTGAACTTCATCACATGACTTTGTTCAATCTGGAAAATAACCAGCTTACTGACTCTATACCACCATCAATCTTTAACATTACAACAATGAAAAAGATTGGTCTCACCTACAATAATCTTACGGGTAAGCTTCCAGCAACTATATGTGACCATCTTCCAAACTTGGAAGAGCTTCACCTCTCAGCCAATCACATACATGGCGTTATTCCACCAAACATAGGAAAATGCAGAAAGCTCCAAATCTTGTCATTATCTAGAAATGAGCTCACTGGAACTGTACCAAGAGAGATAGGCAATTTAACGGCACTTACAAGCTTATACCTTGGAACTTTGCATCTGGAAGGTATTATGATACTTACTTTCATTTTTATCTTCTGCCAAATTGGTACTAATCATGTATTTTCCTCACTTGACAGGAGAGATTCCAGCAAGTATTTCTAACATGTCAGAACTGCAGAACCTAGGATTTGCAAGAAACAGGCTTTCAGGTAATTGTTGTGTAACAAAGAATCTGAAGTGTTTATGTAAATATATGACACGTGAGCCTAACTCAACCCTAAAAACTAGCTCATGAGGGGAGGATTCCCCAATTCCATATAATCTGACCACCTGTCTATTCCCCAAACAATGTGGGACTTTTAGATACTCTAACACCCCTTTCACACCCAGGTCCAACCGGAGCGTGGACCGGCAGCCCAAAGGGGATGGCCTGACCCAGATACCATGTAAAGATACGACATCCTCTCCTCATGAACTAGCTTTTGGAGGAGAGTTAGGCCCATGTGTCATATCATACATGGTATTAGAGCCACGTCCATTCTCGTTTGGACTCCCAATATTCACTCCAGTTAGGCCTAGGCAAGAAGGGGTTGTTAGAGAGGTTAAAAGTCCCACATTTGTTGGGAATGAACAGGTGGTCTGCTTATATGAACTTGGGCAATTCTCGCCCATGAGCTAGCTTTTGGGATTGAGTTAAGCCCAGGTGCCATATCTTTACGTTCTCAAGTTCTAACATGTCAACTCATATATTTCCCCCTCTTGACAGGAGAGATACCAATGGAACTAGGTTATCTTCAGAAACTACTGTTTCTGTCATTAGACACAAATGAGTTGACTGGTTCTATCCCTGCAAGCATTTTCAACATGTCAGCACTGCAGATCTTAGGAATTGCAGAAAACAGGCTTTCAGGTACTCTACCTTCAGATTTAGGTCGTGGAATGCCCAACCTAGACGGATTCTATTGTTATCAGAATAGTTTGAGTGGTTTTCTCCCTGCTTCTATCTCAAATTTTTCAAGACTCAGAGTACTTGAACTCTCTTATAACAGTTTCACAGGCCCAATTCCTGAATCAATTAGTGACTTAGAATACATTGAGGTTTTGAACTTAGGGGCGAATAATTTTGTCAGCAATTCAGCATTGAGCTTCTTGACATCTTTGGCAAACTGTAGGAAACTGAAAGAAATCACTTTTGCCGAGAATCCCTTGGACGGTTTTTTGCCTGCCTCCATTGGAAATTTCTCTGATTCTCTGCAAATTTTCCAAGGATGGTATTGTAAACTGAAAGGCTTCATTCCCGGAGAAATTGGCAATCTTACCGGTGTGATAAAGATGGATTTGTCACAAAATGAGTTGACTGAATATATTCCAAAATCCATCCAAGGCTTGTCGAACCTTCAAGAACTTAACTTAGGTGGCAACATGATAAAAGGAATCATACCAGATGTTATCTGCAATTTATATAATCTTGGAGCATTAGATTTGTCAGGAAATCAAGTTTCTGGTTCCATACCACCATGCTTAGGGAACATTACCAGTTTGAGGTATGTTTATCTAGCTAACAACGGGCTGAATTTGAGCTTACCTTCAAGCTTGTGGACTCTTCAAGATCTCATAGAATTCAATATTTCGTCCAATTTATTAAGTGGGAAAGTTTCTATGGAGATTGGAAATTTAAAGGTTGCAACACTAGTTGATCTGTCAAAAAATGATTTTAGTGGTAAGATCCCTAGCACGCTAGGGGCTCTGGATAGATTGATGAAATTTTCTCTAGCACATAATAAATTAGATGGCCTATTCCAGATTCATTTGGCAAAATGCTGGCCTTAGAATTCTTGGATTTGAGCAATAACAATCTTAGCGGTGAAATTCCAAAGTCATTAGAAGCTCTCGTGTATCTCAAATACTTGAACTTCTCATTTAATGAACTCAGTGGAAAGATTCCCACAGGTGTTCCTTTTGCAAATGCCACAGGTCAATCCTTCTTGTCCAATTATGCACTCTGTGGTGATTCTAAGTTTCATGTTTCACCATGCGTCATCAAATCTCCGAAGAGGTCAAAGAGAAAAAAGATAATCTTGGTTTTGTACATCCTTTTAGGAGTGGGTATACTATTTCTCTCATTAGCCCTCGCATATGTATTTTTAAGATGGAGAAAGATAAAGAAGAATGCAGATCAAGCAGATGTCTTTCCGGTAAAAGGGAAATATGAAAGAATTTCTTACTATGAACTTGAACAAGCAACAGAAGGATTCGACGAAAGCAACCTGCTTGGTAGTGGGAGTTTCAGCAAGGTTTTCAAAGGGATACTTAAGGATGGTACTCTTTTGGCAGCAAAGGTATTCAATGTGCAATTGGAGGGTGCATTCAAAAGTTTTGATACTGAATGTGAGATGTTGCGCAACCTCCGCCATCAAAATCTTACAAAAGTCATCACCAGCTGCTCCAACCCTCACTTCAAAGCCTTGGTATTAGAATATATGCCAAATGGGACACTTGAAAAATGGCTATACAATCACAACTTTTTCTTAGACATGTTGCAGAGATTAAGTATACTGATAGATGTTGCATCTGCAATAGACTATCTCCACAATGGCTATTCAACACCTGTGGTGCATTGTGACTTGAAACCAAGCAACATCTTGCTAGATCATGAAATGGTTGGTCATGTCAGCGATTTTGGCATTGCAAAATTGTTAGGTGCAGGGGAAGATTTTGTTCAAACAAGGACAATAGCAACCATTGGATATATTGCTCTAGGTATCGTAATTATAGATTAGTACTCAGTTTTAGCATGTTCCTCGGTAACTAGGAAGTTTTTTTGTGATTATCTTTTACCATGATTGCAGAATATGGACAAGATGGAATAGTCTCCACCAGCTGTGATGTTTATAGTTTAGGCATTGTGATGATGGAGACATTCACAAGAAGGAGACCAAGTGATGAAATATTTACCGGAGGAATGAATATACGATGTTGGATTAATGATTCTTTTCCGAGTGGTATTCATAAGGTGGTGGATTCTAATTTGATACAACCATGGGATGAACAAATCGATGCAAAGATGCATTGTTTGTCATCTATCATGAAATTAGCTTTGAGTTGCACTGTAGTGACACCTGATGCAAGAATTAGCATGACAGATGCTCTTTCAACACTCGAAAAGATCAGACTCCAGTTTGTCAATAGTCTCCGCTAGGTAGAATTAGACTGTTGTGTTTTACTGAGTGTGAAAAATTAAGGTGAAAGTTCAGGTAGTCAGCCAACTAAGCTACTAAGATTTCAGCATAGTAATATGTTTTACCGAGTGTGAAAAATTAAAACAGTTCTTTCTTGTTGAAACTATTTATTACAGAATTGAGTTAAATATGACGTTATAATTATCAGATCAATTTGGCAATACACATGACATGAAAAATCACATTTACGCTACAATTTTTTTCGAGCACATAATTTTTCTTTGATACATCGATATTTCTATCATGATCTATATAAAATTTTAAATAATAAATTTAATATAGTATTCAGAGATTTTTTCCAAATCTGTATAAATTTCAAATAATATTTTAATAGAATACTCAAATTTTAGTATCATCATTAATTTGAGAAAAGAAGTTACTCGACATAATTTTGAAATACAGAGATGTATTGATTGGATTTTTGTCATATCTAGTCAAATCCTACTAAGTGATTATTAGTTATTTTCTTATTTTGGTGTTTAATATCTACAGAAAAATCACTTAGAATTCTCACTTATTTAGAAAAAAAGTTACTCGGCATTATTTTGAAATACAGAGATCCAGTCAAGTCCTACTAAGTAATTATTAGTTATTTTTCCTATTTTAGTGTATAATATCCACACAAAAAAAAATCCAAATATGGAATGTACATAAATTAAAATGACAAGTGTCTCATTATATAAGTAAGACAACAATGGAAAACTTCATATATGTCTTTACATAGAAAATTAAGAACTACAATCATCCCTTTCTCCTTCAGAATAAGAAGTGTGTGTTCTTTCTCTTTTATATATATGTTGTTCCTTTCTGATCATAGATAGTTTACTAATTCTATATATTTGTGTTTATTTATTCAATTATAATCTCGTGATTAATGAATTTGTTTACACAGGATTTGATTTTTATATAGACTGATAAACATGGATGAAGCTCCAAACAGTTACATGGATGGTGATAATCTTTATTCCTCTACTATACCATGGGCCAATGAATTTGATTTTGGCGAAGAAGTAGAGTTGTCAAAAATATTTGATATGCCTCAAGAGCAGCATTTGAACACCTCAGAATTACCTAAAGTTGTTCCTACGAACACCACCAACATCTCTAGTCATTCATCAACGGATAAGAATTCTTCGAGAATAACTTATCCTATTACCCTTGATGACGATGATGACTATTCATTATCGTACATATATTCCATGGGATTGAAAAATCAAGAAAATCCTAAAACCTTTATCCCTATACCTATTGTTATGGAGAAACAAGGTGAAACTACAAATGACATGATCCTTCAACAACCTCTACCAAAAATCCCAATTTTGGAGAAATTCGAAAGAGAGTCGTCCTTGAAATCAAAGTTCACCACTAATCAGCCTATGAGAACTTCAACTGATTCTTGGAAAGATCTAGAAAATAATAAGACTAATGACATGATCCTCCAACAACCGATGTCACATATTCTAACTCTGGAGAAACTAGAGAGTCATTTGATCAAGTCTAAGTTGATGGTTGGTCAAGAAAATGGAATTAGCAGTGGTGGCTATGGAGTTTTGAGTTCCTTGGATAATGAATTCCCACAAAATACAAGGTTTATTTTCCTTTTCCCCTTTAATTTCCAAAAAATATACTATATATTATTGAGATATGCCAATTATTTTGTTTTTGTCATTTTGGTTTAGCAGTAGCAAAGGAGGTCCTATAAGAAGGTCACCTAATAATAGGACAAGTTCAAGATACCAACCCTTTGGGAAAGAAATTGATCCAAACAATCAAGGATCATCAGATAGGCATGTTAATTTCTCTCTTTTATTCTCCAAATTATCATTAATATACTAATTAGTAATGCTCAATATAACTCATCTCATCTTGTTAATAATATTTTTCAGGATTGAAATATATTAATTAGTAATGCTCAATCTAACTCATCTCATCTTGTTAATAATATTTTTCAGGGTTGGTCAAAACAGTTCAGAGTCGATATTGAACATACCACAAAATTTCGATGAATATACTCAAGGGTATGGCTATTCCAATGAAGCGATTACTTTGAGAAGCTTGAACAGTGGGAATGGAAATGAAGATGGAGCTCCTGGTCAGTTACACTTCAATACCAACTGGCCTTGGGATCCATTTCACTAATGCCTTGTAATTTTGACTTTGAAGAAATATCATTTTTAGAACAATGTTTTATTGCCTCAAAATACAATGTGTATCCAGTGCTCTTCATGATTGGAAGTGGCATCTTGTTATGAAAATGGTTGTTAAGTCATGCAGTATATATATGTATTTGGAACAAAAACTATGGAATTACCAAAAAAGTGGCTTCTCTGCAACAGCTTCTATAAATATTAGTCCTTTTATGTTTGATCATTCCGTTAAGAGTTAGTTTTTGTTATATCCAGTCAAATCTTACTAGGTGATATTAGTTATTTTTCCTATTTTGGTGTATAATATCAAAAAAACCATTTAGAATTCTTGAGAAAAGAAAAGAGGTTCCTCAACATAATTTTGAAATACAACAGAAATTTTTCCTATCATATCCAATAAAGTCCTACAAAGTGATTTTTAGTTATTTTCCTATTTTAGTGTATAATATTTATAGAAAATTCAGTCATCGATCCCATCTAGATATGTTAATTTTAAAATTTCATCCAAATATGAAATCTACGTAAATTAAAATGACAAGTGTCATTTGTCAAATTCTTGGATGGGATATTAGTAGGTTTCCATCCATTGTTTTATCTGCAGGTAATAAGCCAGTGGAGGCTCAGGTATTAGGCTCCCAACTTCGGACTTCAAGTTTGGCCAATTAGAATGACAGATGCTAGGGAATGAGTTGTAATTTTTCTGAAGAGTACTTGTGGCTTTTATGAAGAGTTGTGACGTTTATGAAGAGTTGTGATTTTTCTGAAGAGTTGTGATTTCCATGAAGAGTTGTGACTTTTTCATAAGGTTGTGACTTTTCCGATAAGGCACAGTTGTTCACACTACCTTTTGTTGTCTATAAATAAAGGGATTTCATCTTATTTTACAACAACGAATTTCTGGATTTTTTCTTCTACTACTAAATCTAGTATTCTTAAGTGTAATTTATTACTGTTGAGTGGTTCGCTAACACCGTGGTTTTAGGTATCGATACACCGGTGAGTAAGATCATTCCATCCTGTGAGTATATATTCTATTAGCTTTTCTTTTTCTGCTTATATTTTTTTTTACTGGTTTAGTTTTCTAGTTTTGTAAATACCTTTGTTTCTTACCTTGTTCACACATGATTTGTTTTTTTTTTTTTTATATACATTAGTAACCATGGATGAAGTTCCAAACAATTACATAGATATTGATAATCAAGATCTTTATTCCTCTACTATACCATGGAGCAATGAATTTGATTTTGGTGAAGAAGCAGGCTTATCAAAAATATTTGATTTAACTCAAGAGCATCCCATGAACACCAACATTATTCCTAGTACCTCAATACAAAATTCTGAGGATATTTCAGAATTACCTATGACCACCACCAACATCTCTGGTTATTCATCAACGGATAAGAATTCTTCGAAAATAACTTATCCAATTACCGTTGATGACTATTCGTTATCTTATATATATTTCATGGGATGCAAAGATAATACTAGTGAGAAATTACAAAATCACTCCATCAAGTCTAAGTTGATGGTTGGTCAGCAAAATGGAATTTTGAGTTCCTTGGATAGTGAATTCCCACAAAATACAAGGTTTATTTTCCTTTCCCTATTTTAATTTCAAAAATACATATGTTATTGATGATATTGCCAATTATTATTTTTTTATTACATATTTTCAAACTTTTATTTAATCAATTCTTAGATGTAAGTAAATTTTGTTTTTGTCATTTTGGTTTAGCAGTAGGAATGGCGGTCCTATAAGAAGGTCACCTAATAGGACAAGCTCAAGATACCAACCATTTGGCAAAGAAATTGATCCAAACAATCAAGGATTAGATAGGCATGTTTTCTCTCTTTTATTCTCCAAATTATCATCAATATATTAATTAGTAATATTGTATCTCCCATTTTCAATCACATTAGTTTACATATTATATGAGTGTGTTCGGTACGGAGGAAACATATGGTTTTCAATTATTTTATGTTTGATTAGTGGGAATATTTTCTCATGTTCTTTGAAAATGAGAAAAATGATAAATAGTTGCATCTATCATATATATATATAATAAAAGATCTCTTTAGACAATGACAA